ACGTTTTACTGATAATACAAGATTTATTTTAATATTTATTTTGCTTATGTCATTACATTTTTTTTCATACATTCTTTTTCAAGTATTTTTTCACGCGTGACTTGAATTGATAAATCGCATTGAGAATATTTTCTCTAAAGTAGTGTATGTTTATATAAACATTAATATGTAGATAATTGAAAAGTCATTATCCGATGTAAATGAATGCCTACCATACATTTTGTTAATTTATAATTTCCTGTCATATACTTTTGAAGATGCTTACATCGATAGTCAAACATACATAGGAACAATTATTAGTTTTTTGTAGAACAGATTGCATGCGTCACACCCACGTAGACGTTGGCGTTATTTCTTCTAGGAATATAATTGTCAATAAATTTATCAATCAAATGATATTTCCTTAAGAAATTGTAAAAGCAAAAGAACATTATTGATCTATATTTTTATGTAAGTTTTAAATATATAGAACCTCCTTCTTTTTTTTAATAAATATGTCAGAAATGAATGATTAGATATTTGAATTAAGGTCGTATTATGTATTAAGTAACTAAATGGAAAAACCATAACATCTGACAGAAAAACGTCATGTTCGTTATTTTTTCCTGTCAATTTTTAGTCGATAAATACGAACAGCTGGGTAATATGTGATATTTCTTCTTTCATTTTTTTCCGTGATATTGTCGTAGTTAATCTATCTCTCTCTGTGACATATATATATATAGTTAGTTGTCTCTGAAATTTAATATCAGTCTGTTCAAGTAAGAATTTTCTTTTACAGTAATCAGTCAAAACAAAGACGACTTTAGTGTTCATTTATTCTAATTCATCACGTTTAATTCCACTTCATATTAAAAAATTCATTAATTAATCTAAAAAGTAAGTATGTTGATTCTTTTTTAGGTAGGAAGAATACAACCCACTTGTATACGCAAGTGATTATTAAAACTAAAACTTGCGTAGGTTTTTTCTTTTACTTAAGATGCTTTATATTTACTGTAAATCATGTTCTTTTATTTTTTTTTTGTACGAAGTTGAATCTATAAATAAGACTTATTAAAAGATAGTTGCATTTCTTTTCCTAACTCATTCAAAGTAAGCTATATAATAAGTAGTATTTTCTCCTATTGTTTGTGTAACTCAGCATAAAATACGCAATACACTTTAAGATCATGATATAGCATAAGATTGAAAAACAAAAAAATTTAATTGAATCTCGATTTTGTTATTAAAAAGAAACAGGTAAAAAAATTAATTATCATTTTTATTCATATTTTATCTATATGAATATAATAGTAAAAAGTCGTAGACAAAATATCATTAAATATTCTATTCATTTCTGTATGATATAAAAGAAAATTTTTGAAATAAAAATTTATTATTTATAAAAATCGATCGCGTGAGTATATTGAGAACTAAATAACTACGTTAATTATTTCATTGTAAACAAGAAACAAATACTATGACTTGAAACTCAAAGTCTGATTTATCTATGTAATTAGCCATCGTCGTCATAACTAAATAGACAGTATACATATTTATTTTGACATGCGAAAAAAAGAAGAAAAAGATGAGCAGCTTCATTCACAATAGAAAAACAAGAATTAAGGATTACTATACTCTCTGACTTTCATAGTGTAAGCTGGTTTTTTTATATTTATTTAACTGAATAATTTTTTATTTATTTATTTATTTTAGAATGAACAGTACGTGCCTGATTCTTGTGCTATTTTTCGCATTGGTGTCATGTACATTGTCATCCTATCTTGATATTCCTCCACCACCTGAACGACCAACACGTTTTAAAACCAAAGAACAAATTGAAAATTATCTTAAAGCTGTTAAAGATTATTATGATGCATTTAAAATAAAACTTGTTCGTCGAGAAGATACACCTTCGGATCTTTATACAAATTTCGACAAATCGATGAATGATGATGATATTGAAGAATTCAATGATCAACTACATATATTTAAAAAATTATATAATAATTATAAACAAAATCAACCATCAAGACATATGTTTAGACAACGTGAAGAAAATAATGTTACATAGATCAAGTACAAAATAAATAAATAAATAAACATCAAAATCATGTTATTGCTACTCGATATTTTTTTTTTGTTCCAACATTCAATAAAAAAAAAAGAAGAGTATTTTTTTATATCTATCATTAACAAATGTACGTTGTATACTTTTTATTTGTTTGTCAAACGTGCATATGTTTAAAAAAAACTTCAATCATCATATATTTTGTCGAATTGTACGTAAACAATAAAATTAATATGCTTTCCCAATATATATATTCAATTATATATCTTTTATTTCTCATATAAGGAAAAGAATCGAGATAAAAAGAAATATTTCTAATTTTACAATAGACAAAACAACTAAGTATGTTACCTAGATATTAATTGAAGCATAGATTAAAGAATATATCCAGGACATTCTTATTTCTAAGTGAAATCTAGGAATAAAGTACTTTTTTAATACCAATAAATGTCAAGTAGATTCTAGAGAGAATTCATTTAATATGAAAAATATTTTGCAAAACATCTGGAGGTAGACGTTAGTATAAAATATCTTGATATGAAATATTTAAAATTATGAATATATTTAATTTTAAGGTGTATGCGACATTTATTTGTAAAATTTTCTATTAGTAAATAATGTAAGTCATTTTCAGAAAAAAAACTATTTTATATTCATTAAAAGAATTTTAATTTTTAAAAGATCGTCATCTGCAATACACATTTATTCGATCTATGGAATATATATTTATCTTTCCATGACGTACTTTGCGTTGTGTTAAATCAACATACGAATTATATCAAACAATGTCCAAAAGATTATCAATATTTATTTGAATATAGTAACAAAATAAAGAAAGACAGATAACAAGCTATATATAGTAAAAACCAAATACGATGAAGACAAACATGAGTTAATCAAAAGTCAAGAAAAGAAACATTAATCTTTTTTCTTTTCATCCGTTTCTTCATCAATAGATTCTTGTGTATTTTCATCTTCTTCAATTTGAATTTTCTTCTTCGATTCATATGGCTGTTTCTGATTGAGTATATTCAAATGTGCATATTTTCCTTGCCAATAAATAATCAGACGAGTCGATAAAAGTAAACTAAAGATAATGCCAGGTGCCATACGATCAAATTTATCATGTAAAGTATAATGAGTATAAACTGCACCTAACATTAACATTAAAAGAATAGTATTTGCGATTTGTTTAAGTCGACCTTGATAGAAAAAAAAAAAGAAAAGTTTTTTTTATTTTTTTTTCAAATCAAAATAATACCTGGTATAAGAACTAGAACAGCTCCACAAACAATTTCAAGAATTCCAATAGTCATTCGATAGTTTTTAGCATATGGACGCCAATTAGTTATTTGATACAATGGAAATACTTTATTAATACGTCCAAATTCTCGTCTCTAATATAAGAAAATAAATAAATTATTGAATTTATTAAGAAATTATATAGCTTACCATATCTTCATGTATATCAGGAAAATATTTTGGTGTAACTTTAAATTGACCGATCAGTATAAAAAACATACCAAGAGTAAGTGTTAAAACAGATAAAGCTACTGAACTCATGATCTACAAAAACAAAAATTCTACATAAATATTAATATTACAAAAACAATTGACTACAAAAGAAAAAAAATCAAGTAACAAATAATTTGTTTAATATTAAGAATTAGAAAAAGAAAATGATGATTGTAGTGATCCAAATGTTAATGTTGCACATGTTTCTGTATCAAAATCATAATCAACTGTATCAGATGATGTTTCTGATATTGTACGTTGACGATTTGAATCTATACTTGATAATTCAATAGGTTGATGATTAATAATAGGAGTTATTTCTGATGATGAATCATCTAGAAAAATATCTGATTGTTCTTCCATTGATTGAATAGAATTTGTTTGACTGGAACTGTCGGTTAAATTTGATTCTTCACAAGACATATTAACAGATGAATTATTTTCAAATTGAATCTTATCTTCTTTTGTAGTTAAGATATCCATTGAAATAGCTAAAATTTGAATAGAAATAATTAATTATATTATTAGCCTATTATAGATTCATTAAGTTTGATATAAAATTAATCCAGTGGTGGATTTTGGGGGCGATCGCTAGAATATGGCGGTTCCAAAAATTACCCGCAATCGGGCTTAAAATGCGGTTCTGGTCAGTGGAAATGAGAAAAGAGCGGTTCCAATTCGGTTTCGGTTCCATTTTCTTAGAACCGCCGTACTCTAGTGGTCATCGATCCTTCGGAAATTTTTTTTGATAATTTTACAGCAAATATGAACGAAAAACTAGGTTTACACTACTTCGATTGGACTCAAAAATAGTTTTTAGCCAAAATCGCCCCACTCCTACTGAGAAATCGTCTCTCCCTTCTAAAATCCTAGACCTGCCACTGAATTAATCATATTAATGTTATTTTATCACGAACTAATATCTCAATAGATCAGTTAAATATTTTTCGACATACAGCGATAGAATTTTTTTGAAGGATTTGTTGTCATATGATTACTAATTATTTCATTTATGGAATTAATTCGTTGTAAAAGATTTTCTTCTCGTTCATCATTCATTCCTAAATCTAATTCTTCATCATTTGCTTTTCGTTGTTGTTTTTCTTTAAATAATTTTCTTCGACGTTTTCGTTCAAATTTTGTTTCAAATGATTCATAACGATGTTTAAGTTGAATTGTATGATTAATTGATTTTTTTTGTATTTTTTCATTTAATTTTCTAATTGTTATCATTGATGTTTCGATATCATGATTTGATTGATCTTGAATAAAATAATCAATTAGTTGAAAAAAACGTTTTGTTGTGATTAATGTTGTTAGTGGTGCAGCAATTGGTGTAACACATTTTGGTTTTAATGTTTTTAAAAAATCAACTATTTCAGAAAATGATGAATGTAATGAATAACATAAACGATAACCTAGATATTTATCTGGATAAATAATATCATTAGTTTCATTTCCATAATCTTGAAAGCCGAGACAACGTTTCGATAGATTTTGATCAAAATTTGAATGATATTCATGATATTCAACTAATAATCCACCTGAAAAATGAATTAATCTAAGTTTTCGCAAAAAATTCTACCTGAAAACTGTAATCATCTGTTTTTGATTACTTTAATAGATACTCTGAACTGTACTGTGTCGATCGGTAAAACTCAAGAAAAAAAGCACACAGTTACAAACTACAATTTGTCGAAAAACTTGAAATTTGGAGCTCACTTAACTTGACCGTACTTAAATAGAATGTCGAATCCTATCATATTTAATCAACCGGATATTATGTGTGTATTCTTATATCCTCGCCCTCATGATCCCCTACGTAAGATTAATAAAAAAGAGATGAAATTTACTAGCAGCTATTTGTTCTGTAAACCACATAATTGATAGAAAAATTCGAATAGGTTTATCACAATTTCGAAATAAAGAACATGGTTCTGTATAATTTGATGATGGTGTACGACATGCATGTAAACGTGTTGTTGTTGGATCAGTGGTTAAACATTCTTGTATGATTGGTAGACATGCAAAAAATTCATATTGACTTTGTTCAACATGTACACGCATACCTAAACTTTCATATAAAGCTCGATAAATTTGTTCGTAACCAACTCGAGCACTAAAAAAAGAAAATTATATCTACGTTTTTCTTTGTTAAATGTATATATATACCTTTGTTTAAAATGAAAGTGAGCATTTGATTTTTCTTTTAATAAGCCTTTTATCCATAAAATAAGTGCTTCACAACAAACTTCACGTGTTGGAATATGTAAAATTTCTGGACGAAAAAAAGTCATATCAATATAAAGATTATCAATCGTTTTAAATAGATATTTATCATCATTATCTATTCGTCGTCGATGTAAATGTGCTAAACGTTTTGCTTGACCATGATATAAACGAAAATCACCTGTAAATAAAACATTTCCATGTTCACCTTCAATCCATATCATAATAGATCCCGGACAATGACCAGAACCAAAACAAGTAACAACAATTGTTTCAACAACATTCGGTGTATGTGATGATAATGTATTTTTTATACTTTCACTCTCTAAAATAAATATTTTCGTTGACAAAAAAAAAAAGAATATTAATTATCAAATTAAATTTACCACCGCCTTCTTTTTTCTTTGCTTGTACAGGATCATTTGATTGTATTGTTAATGTAAACGGTTGATCAATTGGAACTGATTTAAAATATGGTATTAAATGACGATATATTGGCATAGTACTTAATAATTGTTTCGATATATCTGACATATATATTGGAGCATTAACTTTAGCAACATATTTACCAAATGCTGGTCGTTCAAGACCAACAAGATGATCCATATGAATATGTGTTATAAAAAACATTGTACTTGTATAATTATGACTTTCAAATGAATCAATAGATATAAGAGGATATTCTTCCAATATCCCATGATAAGTACACATCTTTCAATTTAGTACATAATCATATTTCTTATCCTATTTAGAAATTCAATGACAACAACAAGACAAAATTCATATAAGATTAATTGTTTTGTTCTAGGCTAATAATCTATCCATTGTTTGATATCGTTTATATTGATTATTACTTATAACAAAGAACTTACCGTATGATTTAATGTTAAAATAAATTTCGTAATTTTTAAATATCTATTAATTTTATTTGAATACAAATAATGACTATTAAAAAATATTATTCTATATTATCAAGAATTAATTAGCGCCATCTCTTCGTTTTGACACACTTGGGTAATTAAGAAAAAAAAAAGGCACATGAGATGTAAATCAGATACATTTGTAGATGTAGAGACATAGAAAAAACGACTAGAGAGACAAAAAATATCGATAGGGTAGAAAAAAAGATGAATTATGAAATAAAAAAAAAAGAAAGAACTATTTAGAGTCGAATCAGACACAGACGAGAAAGAAAATTGAAAAGATCACATTAAATTCTACATTTTGAGTTAGAGCAAAGAAAAAGAAGAAGAAGATTACATCACAAAACTATCAAATTTTAATTTAGAAGATTGTCAGTAGATTTTTTCGATGTATCAGTATTCGATGATGATAGAGAAGTATTATCAATTGGCGTTGCAAGTGCTGTACTGCCCGTGCTTATATTCACAACTGGTTCAGAAACATTTTCATTTCGTTGTGCAATAAGTCCTTAAAAAGAAAAATATAATATATAGAAAAAAGATATTAAATACAAAATTAACGTGCTCAAAGCATACATTCAATAGAAAAACAAGCTATTGTCAATACAGATTTTGGAAGCAGTGGCGGAGTCAATGAATAAAATACACGTATGAAAGGTTTGGCTAAGAGGTCTGAGCTCCGCCACTGTTTGAAATGAAGATATAGATGGTCATTATCCCGATTAGGCAGAATGTTAATAAGTAATCGTTGGTATCAAGCTGAAGTAATTAAAGTTTTCATAGTGTATGTGTGCGTATGAATGATAATTTGCTTTCATGCAATCAGCAGTAATAAGAACTTATGAACGTCAATGCTCTAGTATTGCCTTCTATGGGTATACATATATACTGTTACAATTTCGAGTAGTTCATATAAGATAATCTTTTCTGAGAACTAATTTCGCTAAATAAATAATGGATCAACATTCAGTGGATATTCTTTTTTACATTCTCTATTTAACTAATTAAAGAAAACACATTAAAATAGTTCACAATCGATAGTAAATAGTAAATCCATAGTTCATATATTTCATTCATTTATTATTTTCATGCATTCAACATGCTTTTATACATATATATCAATATAGTAAACTAATCTGATGATTTTCACCTGATGTTTTTCTTATTACAAGTGGTAAATTTACTTGGTATTCTTCTTTTCTTTCTAATGAATTATTTTACTTATTATTAAAAAACAAAATAATTTTTTTGGTTTAATTACCTCGTTTATAAAAATGTTTATGTGGAAGAAAGAATAGTATCGAAGTTGCAATAAGTATATGCCATAAACTATGTATATACCAATAATTTTCTTCGGTTTCACAAAATGCAAATAAAACAAGTCCTGCTATTGCTAGTAAAAAACCTGGGGTAACTAATAGAAGACGTTTTGATGATGGTCGTAAATGACGATATCTTATTGAAACAATAATCTAGATTCATATATAGAAAATTAATTAAATAAAAGAAATAGATTTGTTTTTAAATAAATACCCATGTTAACATAGTAAATATAAATGTAATACTAATTAAACTAATAAATTGTAAATGATCAAAACGATCACGTGAATTAATAACAATACATGTTAATAAACCTAACATAAATAAAAATACTTTAAATGATCTTGGAATAATAGCCATAGTAATTAATGTGATAACAAATGATGCATATGAACCAATAAAATCCGATAATTGTAATCCATCATATTTAAATATACAAAATTTATTTATATCTTGATCACATGCATGATAAAACTAGGAAAAAAAATATTTCTTTTTGCTATTAAAACCAAAAATCTTACTGTTGAAAAAAACATATTGAAAAAATAAACAAGTGCTTCAATATATAAACGTCGATAGATTGCTAATATAATCGCTGGTATAAACATACAATTACTAATCGTTAGAAAAAGAACACTTGTTAAACTTTTTGATGTATACGCATGAGTACTATCTGTACAACCATAACCACGATAACCTAAAACAAGATAATATTTGTATCAGAGATATTAGGGTGGGCGAGGGTATAGAAAAAAACCCAATGTTGGTATCTATGTCAACTAACCAGCAATACATGTACAAGTTGAAAAGACATTTTGTTGTGATGTCATTATTCGACAGATTCCATATGTTCCACATTGTTGTTTTGTACATTGTGATGATGAAATTTGAAACATTAATGATACTGCAGCATTTGTACATTCATTTTTTGAACTAATATTTAAGAAAATAAAAATTTCAATGGAAAAGAAAATATATAAACTAACCCATTACAAAAAAATTCTAATGTTAAATACCAAAATGCCATTTCTGGATAAGGTAATGATCGTAATGAAATCGAATTTTTATCAATTAATATTTTATAATTCGATTCACATTGATCAAAACGACGTGGTTGATATTTTGATAAACATCCAAGAATACTAACATTAACATCTGGCGATACAAAAGGCTAGAGAAAAAAAACCGAATTTTAATCGAAAATTTTCTTCAGGAAAAATAAATTTACCATAAGTCGAGATTCAAAATCAAAATGTAATGTTCCACCTATATTTCTATCATCAACAATAAATTCATATGCATACATTGATACATCATTTCCATTTAATGTTATTGAACTTGTACTATGACTATTAAAACGATTTGTTGTATATATAGGTACATATAAAAAATCATAATAATAATTAAACATTATTCGTCGTGTTGGATAAGGTTGAACACAAAAATTATCTGATGAAGATAAACATTCTATAAAAAGAAAATAGAATGATAAAAGAATATTTCGAAAAATATGTACCAGTTGAACGAATAAGTATTTCACCATGAAGAGGATTTATTAAACATGAGACATTCGTAACTGTTAGTTGAAAATAAATTGATATCGATGCAGATAATTGATCGATTTCAATTAAACATGTTTTATTTGTACAGACTAAAGAAACAAAATGAAATTTGTTTATTCGAAATAAATAAATACCTGATTTATAATCATATAAATATATATTTGGAAGAGCATTTATTCGTGCCAAAAATATAATCTCACAATTATTTGACCAATCAAAAGAAATTCTTAATCGAGAATTTCCTACTGACGTATAATAACTAAAATAATAATTTCAATCAAAATTTTCTTTTTTTAATGGAAGAAAAAACTATTTACGATGCATAAATCGATGTTTTATTATCAGATAATACAACTTGACGTGGTTCATTAAACACTAATGTAAAAATACTAGGAACTACTTGATAATCAAGCCAAGTCGATAGATAAAGATTACATCCTGTCGTTATCTATATAAAAAAAATTTAGAAAAATAAATCATATTTATAAAAAAAACATACTTTTGGTTTAATTTCTGATGTTGGATGATCAATAAATGTCTAAAGTATGTCACATACAATATTTTAATTAAACTTAATCTTACGAGGGAACCACCCGAGGTATCAAAAAGCTTTTCAGTCGAAATTTTGTCCACAAGTAAGGGATACATAGACTATAAAATGCCTAAAAGAGTATGTGCCCAAGTTGATGTTTAACTGAGATATCGACTATTTAATGTATTCAATCAGACAAGCTTGCTTACAAAGTTTCAGAAATTTTAGACAGATTCTCTCCGAGATATGAATCCGTAAGAAAACGTCTCTATGCTAACATACTTGCATCTCGGCGACAGTCTTTCCGAAATTTCTGAAACTTTGCAAGCAAGCTTGTCTGATTGAATACATTAAATAGTCGATATCTTAGTCAAATATCAACTTAGGCACATACCCTTTTAGGCTTTCTTATAGTCTATGTATCGCCTACTTGTGGACAAAATTTCGACTCAAAAGCTTTTTGATACCTCGGATGATTCTCTCGTTAGATATTTACCATCGCAAACCATGTTCCAATAGGAGGATTATTTAATTGAATTAATGGGTTTAATAATGTTGTATTAAATATTAATTTAAAAAGATTATGACGATTAGGTATATATGTTTCTGGAAGTGATTCATTTCGTGGTGCTGTTAATGGATATGCACCATGTTGGAGATAACTGAATAATAGAAAAAATAAACGGTTGTTTTAATTTATTATTTTATACATACAAATGAATATTTGCAAAATAATTCGTACATTTTCCTTCGGTGGATAGAGTTAAAGACCAATTAGCTAATGTTGTTGGACCTTGAATATTAAACTTAAGAAATTTAACGTCGGAATAACTTTCATATTCGAATATACGGATACGAGAATACTGTTGACCAAAATCGTAACCTAAATAAAAAAAATAAGTTGTTAGATTTCAATATAAAATAATTCATTGTATTAGTAAATTCAATTATCAAGCAACTTAGTATCGCGAATTATTTCTCAGTCTGCACAGACAAATATTAGATCAGTAGCAATCAGGGAGAACTTGCCAGAGAGTTACAAATTCAATGAAGGTATTTATGGGAAAATCTATATTTGAGAAATTCATCTACCTAAAGAAAGAAGTATTTATTTGAATTGAATAAGATTTCAAACTCTCCTCATCCATTAAAATAGTACAAAATACAAATTACATACCAATTAATGGATTGTTCTCTGCCGAACACCAACAAAACACAATAATTAATATAAACTTAATCATCTCATATTTAAATATATATTTTTAGTTAAATACCAAGATCGTATTATTCTTTCTCTCCTCATTAGCTTATCTAAAATATATATATATAAGCATAAAATACACAAAAAAAAAGAATAAGTTCCAATAATACTGTTTACTCTCCGTCCAATGCTCCTTCTTAATATATATATATATATACATATATATTTGCTAAAACTCTGCTGGTTTAAAAATTAACGGCGTAGAATGAAAGAAAGAAAAAATGAATGAATGAATGAATGAAAGATGAAAAAGAGGAAATCAATTAAATGAAAGTATACAATCGATTTTGTTTATCATCAGACGCCAAGGTATACAAACACGCAGACAATAAATATAAGAAAAAATTAAAATAGAATTAAAGTCAATGTAATAAAAAAGAGAAAATCGTTTTTATCGAATTAATATATATCTTCACATCGTGCCCAATCTTGTTTTTGTTTACATTCCCAATATTCATTTGTAAACATATGTATTTCGGAATCAGTTAATGTATCTTGTTGTTTTTTAAACCATTTCGATGTATAATTATCATGTCCACCCGATTCTTTTGCACGTCGTGTTTGTCGTTGTTTTTCTTCAAGACGTAATTTTTCGGAATTTGCTTCATCCCAACGTCCTTCTTCCATTAAACGTTGATCAGGACGACGACGAGAATCTGTTGGTGCAACATCAGGTTCAAATTCATTTAATTCAATAGCAAGTTGAGTAAAATTATACATTGTTTCAAGATATGCTGGTGGCATTTTACGTTGCCATAATAATTTCATATTACGTGTTTCCATATGTGAATGCTTATGATGACCTGATGCTGATTCAACTGGGCCACCTTCGATTTTCTCAGTCCATGTACCTAAAAAATAGAATATTTTTATACAGACAAGAAAATAAAGTCGAATATTTCTTTTACCAGTTAATACCCATCGAGCTTGACCATTAACATCAGTAACAACACCAGTTACTTTACGTGGAACATCTTTCGAAAAGTAACTATAAGGATAATATTTCAATTTACAAACATCTTTAGTTGTATGATTAATAATATCCATTTCACCAACCTTTACAAAACAAAAATTATATAAAAATTGTTGTATTTAATATTTAACTTACATTATCAATCCAAAGTTTACCAACAATGATATTATTAACAAGTGTAGTTACTTTTCGCCATGTAAAATGATTACCAGTATTCTTAAATATTAAATGAGAATGACCTAATGGCGTTATACTTAAATATTGACCACGGAATTTCGATGTCATTGTAAATTCTTGATATAATGTCCATCCTGGACCTTCGGCATATGTTGATAAAGCTGGTGGATGATGACTAACTTGTTCTACAAAAGAAGAATTTTGTTTTGAATAAGAATTTTTTTTTCAATTAATTCTTACCAGCCACTGATCTCCAACCTAAATCATCAGTTCGATCACATTCATATGTTTCACCAAGTAATGGATTAAATGGTTTATTAACTCTTGTTGTTGTTGTCGAATAAGATGAAATCGTAAATGCAGCAACATATGCTAATTGTTCCCAATTATCATTTGATTTAGCAGCCATATCAAGTACAGAACTATATTCAAGTTCTTCTGTTATTCGTTGTAACATCGATATAGGTTCACTAAAATTAACAGGTATTGGAATTTTTGATAGATCTTTTCCAACACAATTCTTCATGATACTCCATAAATTAATACTATAATTTGGTCGTTCAGGAATACGATCACGACGTTTACGTTTTGGTATAGCAACTTGTTGATTGTTATTTACAGGTTTTTGTAATGATTGAAGACTACTTGTATCAGTTGTAATTGCAGCATTATTTGATACTTCTTCTTTTTTCGATGCTAAATGAAAAAGAATCTAATTAAAAAGAATTGATAGTATTCAGATACATACCTTTGACAATAACCATTGGTAAATTATTTTCATCTTGTTCTTCTGATCCACTATCTTCATTGCCTGAACTAACATCATCATCAACGATATTCGGTTCTTTTTTATCATTATTTGATAAATGTTGTTGAAGTCTATTTCAAACAAAAAAATCCTTTTTTTATCAAAAATAAATTAAAACATACGGAACACGAAAAACACCAATGGTTTGTGGATCATCAATAGCATCATAAAATTCTTCATCATCAGATAAATTACTAGCTTCATTTGTTCCACGTAAATCCGATGATTTCAATGTAGTTAATGTTGAACGACCAGAAAGTAGACTTGTTTTATCTGAACGTGATGCACGTTGAACTTGTTTTTCTAATTTCGCACTTTGTAATGCAACTTGTTCACACATACGTTCCATACGTAAACGGGCATCACGTTCAAATTGAACAGCTTTTTGCCATTTACGACCTTGATTTTGTATTAATTGAACAAGTTCTTGACAAGCATTAAGCATAGCTATAGAAAATAAAAAAACATTTTTATAATATTAATACGAAAATTTAATAGTCGATAAATATACGATAGAAAATTCATTACACTTTTATGAAAGATTGTTTTACATATTTCAATTGATCTGTTTTCGTCGATAATAAAATATCTATATTATATACTACAAGAATCTATATAACCAAGGAAATAGAATACACCTGGAATGATCCTATTCATATATATATATATATGTTTAACGATCGGAAATGAAGTACTACCTAATTAGCATTTCTCTTTTGTTATTCAACTGAATAGAATCAAGTATATTGATTGTTAATAGATTTTTCTATGTTATTTTACCTGTTGATGTAATACGAAATAAAGTTGCACGTTCATTAACACTTTTAATTATGTTTACTGTTGCTTCTGTTTTATCAAGTTGTTCAAGATCGCCAAGTGTACGATAAAGTGCTTGATAATGACGATTTATTAAATCCATACACATTTTTAAATCATCTAATTTTGAATCAAATGCTTTATTCATTGTTGCTAATTCAGCACGTTCATTTGTATTGATTAATAATTTATTTTGATCATTGATATTTGTTTGTTGTTGAATTAAATTTTGTTGTTGTAAATCATTAACTTCATCTGTTGTTGAAACTTCTTCATCAGAATCTTGATATTGTTTACGTACTTTTAATGCTTTTTGTTTAGCTGATTGTAATGCATTCATCCAACGTTGTTTATCATTTTCACTTGATGTACGTAGATGTATAACAGTTGAACCATTTGATATAACAAAATGACATGTATCATTCGATGATAAATGTGCGGATTCAAGATAAACTGTACCACGACATGTATGTGTCATTTCATGTTGAGAACGATAATAGGATAGTATACCAGCTTGTAAAACAAACCAACGTTTTTGATAACCTTTTAAATACTTAAAAAATACAAGTCTTTAATTTTGGATATAAACAAAAACAAAAATATTATTATACATTCGTCCATTTATATAACCAACCACGCATTTCATCTTTTCCATTAGCAGCTGATGGTGTTGTTGATTGCATATGTAATGGTCGCTGTGAAAGAGCAGTGGGTTGTACAATACCAGTGCCAATTGAATTAACATTTGCTGTATTAGTTAGATTTTGCATGGATGATACTGGAGCGTTTTTTAATGGTGATAAATTAGGAGGATTACCTATTTTAGAATATAAATAAAAACTATTTTTTTTTTGTTATAGTTTATTTTAATTTACTATATTGTCCTCTTATTGAATTAGGATTATCAGTTGTTACACGAGGTGCAGTAGGTAATGATGTTAATGTTGCAATTGCTGAATGTGCACTATTCGATCGTTTGTAACCAGCAGAAGGAGCATGCAATGCCGAATTGGATACAGTATGATCGTTGTTTGTATCTATAAAAATATAGAGATATTAAAAGAAATCTATGGGAAAAAAAACTAGAATGTTTCTTATTTAAATATTTCTTAGTAGGCATTTTTGTTAGCAAAGTTATGGCACATGCAGTCAAGCAGCTGTTATAATCATCTTATTTAATCATTGTTAAATGGCAGTTATTTAGCAAGACAAGCTTTTATATATCTTCTTTGCACTATCTCTATTGTTGACATTGTATAGAATATATTATACGAAAAACAATATAGCACATATTAATGGTAGACAACTGAAACGCTAATCAAAATCGAGATTAAAAGACAAATACAAATTGTGTCTATATACAAAAAGAATAACAGTAGGAAGCCAAATTGATTAAAAGATAAAGACAAAAAAAATCAATTGAAAGAATATACAATAAATGTTTGTACAATCATTTATAAGGTATATTATTAGTAATTAATATTAGATTTTTTTTTTTGGTAAATTGATTAGAATATTTCTACATGAAGTTAAAAAGCTAAGAAACAAAATAAAATAGATATTCAATCACATACGATATTGAAAAGCACCATGTGAATGCTGTTTTCGATGCTTTGAAACAAATTTGCCCATAAGATTTGGCATGTCAACCGAACGATTATTAACAAACAAAAAGAATAATGAAGCAATGAAAAGAAGAATGGAGAATGAGAGTCAAAAAACAAAGAAAGAGGTAAAAACAAGACTGTACACATAACATGTAAGTAAATCGAACAGTCTATCGCTATAAGTAGCAAAATATAAGAGAAAAAATTCGAAAAAAACGAGAGAAACGAACATACTCTTTCTTTTTCCTCCTTTCATCAAGCAATACCATAAGACTAGATCGAAAAGGTCACTTGACATTTTTACTATACTGTATAGAAAGCTATGTATTTAATTGTGTCTGAAAAGCGAAGCAATTATTTAGAAGGATTTAATTTCGCGTTTTTGTTTTAGTAAATAGAATAAAATAGATCCTACCACTAGTGATTGCTGATGATGTAGTATGTGTAGATCGGTCTTTTGATCGTGATGATTTATGCATACTACTTTTAATATCATTTTTTAGATGTCGTGCAGCATCTCGAGCACGTTGTGTTGCCATAAATTTTTCTTTTTTTTAGTTTTTCTACTAGATGAAATTGTACATTTAATAGTAAGAAGAAAAAGCTTCGTTTTCAAATAAATTTAATATCGAAATATTTTTATATCTACGTGTGCAATGTTGGTCAATAGTTAGTGATAAAGAAACTATGTCTTATAGATAGAAAGAATGTCAAAAAAAAAAAAGAAAAATATATCACGTCTATTCTGTGTGTTTTTTTCCTATATTAACCTTAAGAAAAAAATAAAATTAAAAAAAAATTATTATTTATAACATGTTTTACTCACCTGTTCTATTAGAATATGTATATAAATATTTATTTATATCTACAAATGAGAGAAAAAGAAGATGGTCGTGATTTTTTTTATTTAGTCACAAATTGAAGAACAAAAAAACAATCTGTGATCATTTCTTGTTTGTTTTTTTTTAAACCAATAATTAAAAAATGAAAGAACAAATAATACTAAGATATATATTTATGAAGAAACAGGTGCAGCTGCTTCAGTTAGCTTCTTTTTAGTTAATGTTGTTGCTGCTAATTCTTTATCTTCATCAACCATAACCTATAGAAAAAAAAAGTTTGAGTTTTTAAATAAATCAAATATAATTCAATTACTCGATCAACACGATGTTTATAAATGCGACCATCACCTCGTACATAAAATATTGAAAAGCCATCGATATGCCTATAGAAAAAGATGAATGAATAAATTTTGTATTTAAAGTTATTATATTTACTCAATATAATTCCGAATATTTCCTGCAACATCTTTTGGTTTTCTCCAACCTTTAAGAACACCAACAAATGATTGATTTGATAATCCTGTTATACGCCAACGTATTTTAACACAATTTGATTCTTCATCAACTGTTGTTTTAAGTAAATGAACTTTTACATTCATTAGTTTAAAATTTAGTTTTATTCGAAGCCAGAAAAGTGCTAGAGCATAATTGCCTGCTCCTCTAAAAACAACAAAATTAAATATAAAAATCTGATATAAATTTTATTTTCCTAAAATAGACATATGACAGTTGTATATTGTTAATATCGATTATAAATAAGTTTTTACTTTTTTCAAAGCATCATTCACAATTTGGAAGTTAGCCTATAACAGTAAGTTGATATGTATAACCTTAAATTATCCTAAGTTTATGTAACATAAACAATACGAATATAATCGTTTTAGTTGTATATATTAATTCTATAAGAAGATCAAATAATGAAAATATAATACTTCGCTCAATCGTTTAGATGCGATATATTCTCACTAAGTTAAAAGATAGGAGATAAAACAAGTATTATATTACTGGTTGTCACCTAATGTGAGCAGATGAGAAACAATTTTTTTTGTAGGGTATCATTCTACGAAGAAAGCTTTTTATTAATTAAACTTATCTTTTGCATTTATTAAAATTTAACACGTAAATAAATTTAGAGATTAATCTTAGCATCATATTACTTAGATTCCTTATCCTTTTATCATTCAACACGGTAAGATATTGGGTATGTTTCTATATCATTGATAAGAAAACGTTATGAAATAAAATATATTATTTGTAATTAGAAAAAGTCATACTCCTCGATCTTTTCTTTAGAGTTTGATTGTTTTACTATGATGTTGACTCGACGTCTCGCCGATAGAAATGTTTAATGATCGCCTTTGGGCTCACAGATTTGAGTGAAAAAAAATTTTTTGTTCTTAAAATAAAGGTTTTTATAGAAAAAAAAACACATAGTTACAAAAGAATCAAAAAAGTCTATTCCCGATAATCACATCAACTAAACAATGAAATGTTTGTTTTAACTAATACTCAATTATCCATTTTTACCTATGTTTCTAACTGTCATATGTCTATTCCTAATTACACATACATTTTCATTTCTGCCTACTTCATAATTTTGGGTGGATTGTCATAATAATTTTCAAAAATAATATCAGCTGTATATAAAGCATATGGATGCATTCGTTTACAAAAATCAGGTAGCTAAAAAAAGAAAATATTTAACAAATCAAAGAACGTTTAATTGAATAAAATTCTTTACAATTTGTTTAAGTTGATCTTCAATGAAACGTAGATGTTCAAGTTTTGGTTTATCATTTGGATTTCCTGGTGGAAATTGAAATGGTATTCTTGCATCATATTTTTTTGGTGATGCTGATTTATCATCAACTGGTGGTACATGTAATGTTATAGAACGTTTTTGTTGATAATTATATTTTAAAAACATCGATTCATTTCGTTGTATTGCATTACATCCGAGATACGTATGACAACTTGGTGGTATTATTGTTGATTGATCAGCATTAGAACGTTCGATTGTTGATAAATGACGATAGATTGTATATAGAGGAAATTTTAAATAAGATCTATTTGACAGTAATAATAAACAAGACATATCTGAAAAAGAAAATCACGATATAATTTAATTGATGTAAAATTATCTACGATTCAGATATTTTCTTCTTTTTTTTATGGATGTCTAATACTTTGTTGATTGAAATGAATAGGAAATCATTCGTTTCCTTGTCTTTGAAGTGTAACTGTTGTTGTTAAATAAAAAGAAGAAGAAGAAGAAGGAAGGAAGACTCTTAATTCATCTATATTCAAAATAGAAATCGAGTAAACAAAATTCGACGTCATCAAAAGAAAATTGTATTTTATACTTTACAATTATTTTCATATATAAGATATTATCGATTTTTACAAGGACAAATATCATATTAATTTTCCATTAATAATAGAAATGAAGTCACTGTGTCCTCCAATATTTGATTAATCGATTTCTAATCCTATATATTAAGATAATCCTACGTCTACATCATCTCAGATAAAACATAATGGTACTAAAGAAATGTTGCTGGAATGAATTCTGAAGTTTCTCAAAATTATCAAGTAATTATAGATAAAATATATATAATATACTTATTTTAAAGTACTAAGATTTACAAAGTTTTTATTTATTAGTCAAATCCTGTATTAAAATCTTTCTATACGAAAACATAATTAAATCAATTATATTTTCTTATATTAAAATCTAGCTAATCTAAAATAGAATTTTGAAGAATAATTATTTTTTATAATCTCAATTTTTTCTTATCGATAAAAATAAAATTTGAACTAAAAATAATAGAAGTATATATATTAGATACATTAGGACAATTTGCATTTTTATTGAGGAATAAATAATTTATCTAGTGAAAGTGCAAGGTGATAAAATAAAAATAAAAACGATATGTACTCGTCTACCTTTCATAAAAAATTCTCTTTTATAACTTCTACGTTTGTTCATGCATGCCATTAATTCTGAAATAAAATTTAAAGTATCTAATTGAGTAAAATTTATATTTATTTTCAAACTACTAAATATTTATCTTTTATTAATTAAAAGACAATAACGTTAGTTGACAACTATTGTATTATGATATATTAACAGAGAGAAAGAAGAAGAAAAAGAAATCGAAAAACATATTATTCAACCAATCTTGTATTAATCATAGTGACATCTATTTAGTAAAATTTTTTTTAGAAAATTTTAGAAAATTAAATTAAATAAAAAATCAAATCTTCTAATAATAGAAATAAATAACTTTTATTTATTTAAATCCATCGAATTTTTTTATTGGTCTATATACCGAACAACAACAACAATAAGAAAAAGAATTGTTTATTATTATTAATTCTTTTGTTAATAGAATAAATGGCTTCATCAAATGATCAAATAAAAACTTCATCTACACGTTCATATCAATTACCATTAACTAAAGTTAAATCAATAATTAAACTCGATAATGATACACGTATGATTAGTCAAGATAGTGTTTATATATTAACATTAGCAGCAGAAGAATTTATTCGAATGTTAACACGAGATGCACATAATTCAATGAAACAATGTGCATCAAAACGATTAGATCGTTTACATATATTTAGTTCAATTAATACAAATCCACTTTATGAATTTCTTGATGGATCATTTGATTAAAAAAATATTAATTCATTCTTTTTGTCTTATATATAGATTTCCTGTCAGATATACATAACAAAAAACAAAAATAAATCTATTATTTTTCATTTCTTTTGTGTTCTAGATTTGAATGAAACAGTCATCAACACCAAGTAATCCACCACCTTTACCATTACCACCATCTACACCTGTATTAACACATATTGATAAAAATCTTAAAAAACAACTTGATGAACGTGAAAAACTTTTTCTTCTCTATGAACATGAAGGTAAAATACCTGAATTAATAACTGATATAAGTCATTTACAATCACCACGTCTCTCAACAACTGATCCAAATTCTATCGATCATTATGGTTTTATACATGATAAACCAATTAAATCATTATCAATTAATGATCGTAAACAAATTCAACAAGAAATTAAACGTAGTGAACGTTGGAATAAAATGTTACGAAAAGCAAGTCATACAATAACAAGAGATAATGAACAATTACGTAGACGAATGTTTAAAGGTTTACCAAGTACCTTACGTGGTGCATTTTGGTCCCGGTTATTTGATCTTGATGAACAATTACGTGTTAACAAAGGTTATTATGATATATTAAAAAAGAAAGCTCGATTATCATCAACATATTTAAGTCAGATTGATCTTGATGTACATCGAACATATAGAAATCATCAAATGTTCTGCAATAGATATTGCCTAAGACAAAAACATTTATTTTCAATATTGGCTGCATACAGGTATGATGAATTATTAGAAGAATAAAAGCTTGATGGGTTATATATATATTAGAATGAGTTTAATCATATTCAGATTTATAAACAAAGCGATCTGTATAATTTTTTCAATCGATTATTTAATATAATAATGACTAATCCCAAGAGAATATTAGAAACGATTGAACGATTTCCAAATCAATCAGAACATATTACATGTCTTTAATTCATTTAGCTTAATATATATTGAATTAAAATGTATTTATATATATATTTTTCTTGTTATTTAGTGTGTACAATACAGAAATAGGTTATACACAAGGAATGAATCAAATTGTTGCTTTTCTTCTTTTTTATTTACCGGAAGAGGAAGCATTTTGGGCATTTTGTCAATTAATGACTAGTTCACGTTGGATGATGCATGGATTTTTTTGTCCAGGCTTTCCAAAATTATTTCGTTTTCAAGCACAATTTGAAAAAATTATGAAAAAAATGTTACCAAAAGTTTATAAACATTTTCATACATATCAAGTTCAAAGTGATTTATATACAATTCGTTGGTTTATGCTTTGTTATCTTGGTATATATTTTTTTTTTCTTCATCTATTTTATCTCATAAAAATTTTTCTTTTAGATTGTCTACCATATCCATTAACACTTCGTATATGGGATATATTTGTATTAGATGGTGAACAAGTTTTATTAACAACAGCATTTTGTATATTACGTATACATAGAAAAAAACTTTTACATTTAAAAACATTTGATAGTATAAATTCGTTTTTAAAAAATGATTTATGTGTAAATTTTGCAAATTCATCATTAACAATTGATGAAATAATTGAAGAATATGTTGTATGTTATGAAAAATTAAAACAAAATAATTTACTAACATTACCAACACCAACAGAAAATGAAATTCCAATGAAACCATTTAATATTTCAATGGGAGATATAACAAAATTAACAGATAATACTTCAAATAAAATTATTAATTCAGATGAAACAACAAGTAAGTCATGGATAATTCTCTAGGAAATGTTTATATGAAAGACTAAATAAGTTAGATTAACCAAACGGAAATGAGAATTGACTGATAACCAATAGTAATTCTATTGATGACGATCAAACATCCTAATCAGATATATGATCTCATCCTATCCAACAGACTTCTACCGAGTAGATTATATAATTCATCGGAGACTCGTTTTCTTTTTCTTCGCTCTCTCTCGTCTAAGATTTGTTTTTGTTTACTAAAAATGAATTGTTTATTTAATCAGATGTCATAGACTCTATATGAATAACAGTTTTTCTTTTAATTTTAGAAGCGATTGATACACCACCGAGTAAAAATAGTACTTCGCCACGTATATTAACAACACAGATGTCACCAAAAGGTACACCGATACCAGTTATTGAAACATTTCTTGTCTCATCAATAGCACCATTAGCAACAGCTGATGAAGATTCACCATCGATAGTAAATTTACGTGATACGTCTATTGAAAAGCAATATATGGAAATCAAACGTTTAACTAAACCAGTACAAATCAATGATCAACAATATTTAACTGAATATGATAGTTGTACAGTTTTATCAAGTGCTGATCCATCATTAAGTGGTTATAGAAGAAGACAAGGACATTTTGGTGATGATGATGATGATACAATAAGTTCGAAAAGTGATATTATCGATGATGATGAACATGTACAAATATCTCATATGATCACAACATCATTTATTCATGATGATGACTATGACAAAATCAAACGTTCACCATCATTCTATGATAATGTTGTCGATAATGAACAATCTAATTATCAATATTTACGTTCACAACATTATGCATTCGATACGAGTATTCGATAATAGTCAGAATAATAATAATAATAAAAATATTCACTCACACACTCTCTCGTTTCTTCGATTTTTTCTTTTTTTTTTTTATATTAAAAATATTTCTCGTAGATTAGTAGTGCAAATGCGGGTTGGTCAAGAGAAGAAAAAAAACAAACAAAAAATACGTTTTGTTGTTGTTGTTTTTTTTTTGTGTTCTTAAGTGATATATATATTCTATTTTGTATGTATAACAGTGAGATTCGCTTCTGCTTCGTCTTTTTTTTTTCTTATATGTTTATATCTATCTTATACAATTTAGTCATACAAAGGGTATCAGGGAATGAATTTTATTTGTTTCAAAAAAAAAATATTAAATGAACAGTCGAATAGTTTAGAAATCATCCAAAAAATATTTTTTTTCGATGTTTCTTCTTTTTTTTGTTCTTGTTTCATTTTTTCGTTTTTCCTATAAGATATTTATATATGAATATGGTTGACAGATGTAAATCAATAATCTTCATTTGAAAAAAACAAAAACAGTAGTCTTTTATTTTATGTTTTAGATTGAATTATTTTTTATTTTAATGCACTTGTTTTATCGATTCGATTGTGGTCAATATTTCTAGTCGTCTTATATATCTATTTAATTCTTAAAGGTAATTAACAAAAATTTTCTATTTTTACTTATAACTTAAACTAAGTCGAGAGAAAGAGAGAATAGTTTGCGACAGCTGGTACACTTTTGCATTTGATTATTTACTACAATCTTTTTGACTGCAAATATCGAATTCTTTTAATGAATGTTTTAAGATATTAGATTTAGTCATTTTATAATTAAAACAATGCTCTACTTATTTGAATAGAATAATCTGAATACATTATATTATTTTTTCAATCATATGAGAGTACCTATCATATTATTCATTTTCAATGAATTCAATACAAAAAGAAAAGAAAGTTTCACAGCATATATAATTATGACTATATAGGTAGATAGAATTATCATTCTTAGCATGAATTGAACAGATGGTTATATGTGTTCAATATGTATAGAAATGAAGAACAACAATGTCTCTATTAACAGCTGATGAATCATTTTCTATTTTCTTTTCTTTTCTTTACTTTTATCTGTTTGTCTTGATCATTAATTTTTTTTTCTTCTTTCTGAATATTTTATGTGCATAGATAGAAACTAAATGACACGAATAGAGAGAGAGAGAACTCGTTCTATATAGTGACGAACGACACTGATGATGATGATGATGGTGGTGGCATCAAATGAAGCGAAGAACAGCACATACAAACAAAATAGGAAGTATCGTCGTATGTTGCTGATTGAAAAAGCAACGGATACAAAAAAAAAGAGACAGAAAAAGGAAGACGACGATCAGAATCAATAGTGTGTCTGTTTCTCTGCAATTCGATCCTTATATATATATTTATATATATATAGATGTGTGTGTGTGTGTGTAGATGGTGAGTGAGGGTAGGTCATCAATGTCGTATGCACGCTCAACAACCATTTTCTCTCTTTCCCTCCTATTGTCATTTATAGAGAACATCTTTTTTTTTTTCTTCTTCTTATTCTTCTTCTTCTTCTTACTCTCGGAAGAGAAAAAAACCGTCGACGAGACGCATGTGCAAACAATGTTGTCGTCGTAGTTCAATCGCTCTCTTTCACTCTCTTATGATTGTGTAGCGTGCATACGTACGTATACACAAGACTATACTATTTGTCGTCGTATATGTCGGTCGAAATGATTTCTCACTTTGTTGTCAGATTTTGTCTTAGCTTAAAATAATCATTTGTGACCTTCTTAGTAACCTAAAAACAAAAGAAATTCATTAAGAATCTAATACAACACGCGCCATATCGATAATGAAAAACGATTTATATCAGTGATCTTTTTTGAAAAAACCGTTTTTTTTAATCACATATCTTATATTATAATGTATTCGTTGGCTACGGCTTCTTCAGCCGCAGTACCGGCGATTTCTACCAGGTATTTTTAAGTCACTTTATAACAAAAAAAGTTTTCTTTTTGTTTTCTATTAATTTCAAAAATATTTCTATTTTATTTTGATCTCGTTTTTTCTAGGTCTTTCCTCTCATCGAGCTGGTATTCGTATAATCCAATGAGTACCGAAAGCTCGAACACAAAACTCGTACTTAATGCAAATACAGGCAATAGTACATCAACTACTCCAACATCATCATCACCAGTTACAGTTAATGGTAATGATCATCATCATCATCAACAACAACAACAACAATTAAATACCAATGGAAATGGAATTATTAATGATGGAAAATTAACATCAAATAATTATCAAAACGGTGTACTTCCTGATCTTCAGGCTACATTCCAAGGTTCATCATGGAGTAATATTATTGATCCACTGAGTGGTGCCTCCGGTGATCATACATTCGATGTACACAATGGAGGTCGTATGTTTTCACCACAAACAACTACAACACCACCACCACCACTTATGGCCATGCAGCAACAACAACAACAACAACAACAGCAGCAGCAGCAGCAGCAACAACAACAATTATCTTATCAACAAGTAAGATTTGATATTTTCTTTTTTCAATAATTTTTATTTCGTTTTATTTTTTCAGGCAATACAAAGGAGACCAATAACAGCATCACATAATTTTTCTACACAAGCAATTCGTAATGGTATATCAGCTCCTCCAACTCAACCAGCACCACCATTAAATGGACGAACGGCAATTCCATCACCATTATGGAACAGTCAATTTCAACAAACAAATCTTTCGATGCCATCATCACATATACAACAACAACAACAACAACAACCACCATCACCATCATGGAATAATACATCTATTCCACATGGATTTCCTGCGACATCGTAAGTTTAATTTCTAAAAAGAAAAAAAAGAGCAAACAATATTTTTAATTATTTTATTAGATCTCGTCGTCCTGTACCATCATTAACAAATCCAATAGGTAATGGTAATACAACAAATAATAATTTAAATCAAACATTAATGCTTGGAAATGGAAATCTTCCAATGTCTCAAACAAAGAAAACATCATCATTAACAACACAAAATAATTTCTTTCCATTTCTTCCAACAACATCAATAACAAATCAAAATAAATATAATAATATTCAATCATTATCAAATCAACTTCAACGTACACCTATCATGACAAATTTTATTCAAACACAAAATGGACAATCACCTCCTCCACCACCTCCACATATTATGAATGGAAATGATATTGAACAAAATTTTCAATCGAATGATGCATATGATATGAATTCATTTCAACAGATAATGGATATGATGAGAAATGTTTCATCAGATGGTGTTAAACGTGTTTATAGTGATGATAGTGGAATGGGAAGTATACTTGATACAGAAAGTTTAATATCAGTTGGTGGCGGTGGTGGTGGACCGTCATCATCATCAGGTTTATTTGGTTCACCACGTGCAATGCAAATGGATATGAATAAAGAAGAACGTTTTTCACGTAAAGTTTTTGTTGGTGGTTTACCACCTGATATTGATGAAGGTAAGAATTAAATTCCTTTTTTTCTAAAAAAATAATTTTATTTTATTAAATAGAGGAAATTATTGCACATTTTCAACGATTTGGTCCATTAATTGTTGATTGGCCACATAAACAAGAAAGCAAATCTTATTTTCCTCCAAAAGGTTATGCTTTTTTAATATTTACATATGAACGTTCTGTACAAGAATTAATTGATGAATGTGTTATTGATGATTCCAAACTTTATATGTGTGTATCAAGTCCAAGTATGAAAGATAAAGCTGTACAAATACGCCCATGGCTTTTAGCTGATTCGGATTTTGTTATGGATGGTTCTCAACCACTTGATCCAAGAAAAACAATATTTGTCGGTGGTGTACCACGTCCATTACGTGCAGGTAATATACATCTTCATGTATATTAATTAATTCATTTTTTTATTTAATTTTATTATAGTTGAATTAGCAATGATTATGGATCGATTATATGGTGGTGTTTGTTATGCTGGTATTGATACTGATCCCGAATTAAAATATCCTAAAGGTGCTGGTCGTGTAGCTTTTTCCAATCAACAAAGTTATATTGCTGCAATATCAGCTCGTTTTGTACAATTACAACATGGTGATATTGATAAACGAGTATGTTTTATTTTAAATATCTTCTACACGACCTGAGTTTCATGTCCTTTGTTAGATAGAATCTTAATCATCTCTAGTTTTTTTATATTATATTGAATAAGGAAAAAAAATGATTGTATTGATTAATATGTAAAATAGATGATGAATAAATAATTGACAATATATTTGGGTTTGATTGCGCGCGCATATAAGAGTAGATGAAATCTGTCTTGGGATTTACACCTATTGTATTTTTTCCGGAAATGTTGAGATTGCTTTAAGAAAAAGAATAAGAAATTGATTTATTTAGGTGGAAGTTAAACCATATGTTCTTGATGATCAATTATGCGATGAATGTGCTGGTGCACGTTGTGGTGGAAAATTTGCTCCATTTTTTTGTGCTAATGTAACATGCTTACAATATTATTGTGAAACATGTTGGGCATCCATTCATGCACGTGCTGGTCGAGAATATCATAAACCATTGGTAAAAGAAGGCGCTGATCGTCCACGTACATTACCATTTCGTTGGTAAAAAAAAATGAAAAAAAAAAATTTTCATGACCAGATTTCTTTTTTTTTCCGTCAATGTTGTTATTTGATTATTATCATTCTTGTTCTCTAACTCTTTTTTGTTTTCTTGTTTTGTTTATTTTCCTATGTTGTATCACACATGATTTTTCTACTCCTGTTTTGTGTAAATTTCTCTTCTTCTTCTTCTTCTTTTTTTCTCCTCCTTCTTGTGAACATTTTTGCGCCTATGTTTTTTCTTTATTTGTTTTTTCGTAAGACCTAGCGCATTTCGAATAAATGTTGTTAGTCTTTTATTTCACCTCTTTCATTGTGGAGGATAAGTCGTTGGATGATCTCGTACTTTTTTCTCTCTGATAATTACTTTAGAAAAAACCTATAGAGCGCTTATTAACACTTTTCGGTTTTTTTTGTGCAATCTTTCTACATATATTGGCTTATAAGTCGAATATGATGTGTATGGTGGTGTTTTTTTTTCTTTTTCTGAAAGATTATTTGATGATTGTTTTGTGCTTGTGTGATTGGTGAATGATGATATCTTGAGCAATTTTTTTTCTTCTTGATAAAGAAAAAAAACACATATTTGAAGAAAAAGAATCATTTGAAGATTTCTTTTTTGTTTTTTTTTTGGTTTTGCTCTTATTTGTTTCTTTGTGTTTTCCGTTTATTTTGTACACAAGTTTTATTTTGTATGATTTTTTTCTCTCTCTCTCTTTCGTCATTCATCTCAGCTTTTGTTTTGTCATTTCTCTATGGTGGGGCAGCATTCTCGTTGTTGTTGTTTGTTGTTGTCATTATTTAACATGTTCATCATCAATACATTCTTCTTTTTTGCTCTTTCTTTTGATATTCGATTATATTTTTTGTTTATTTATTTTTTATTGTATCATCATATTATCATCGTTATTTAGGTCGTGAAGAAAAAATAACATATGATTTGAGAAAGAGCACAACTTTCCGGTGGAGTTGCTCTCTCCATATTTTGTACCTTCAAATAAAACAGGCAATCTGGCGCGCAGATCTTCTTCTTTTTTTTTCTCTTCTTCTTCTTCTTCTTCTTCTTCTTCTATTAACCAAACGCTTGTGTGTATGTTTGTGGAACCTTTCTTATACTTCTCTCTTCATTTTTTGTTTTCTTGTCTCATTTTTTTTATATATTACACACATTCGTTGGTCTTTTGTCTCTTTCTCTATCGCTTGATGATCCATCATTGATTGTTGTCATTTTTTTTAATTCGTACTTTTTTGTTGTGCTGAACTATTACTACCTATTTCTTTTTTTTTCTTTTTGTTGGAATAAAAATCAAGAGAATCCAAAAGAAAATTTATTAATCAATTATTTTATTCTTTTTCATATGAAATATTAAGAGATAAATTTTTGAGGTTAGAAGATAAAGAAATAAATTTTCGAATATACTTGTAGATTCAAAAAAGATAATGTTCGCAAAATCATCCAATGCACCATCTCGTGGTGGTGGCAAGAAATCAACAGATGATATCAAACGACGTCTTAAATCAGTGGTTGGCTATAGTCCATATGCAGTTTATTATGGTTTCATACCACTTGTAATCTATTTGGGATTTAAACTTGGACCTGATCCAGGTACACCGGAATTTTCATTACTCAGTTTATTACCAATTGGTTAAAGACAAAAACAGTATTGTTTTCTATTTGCTAGTGATTTTTGTAGCAAAAAAATAAATGAAATAAAACACTCATACCACCGAACTCTTCTTTTTATCGACTCAATAATTTTAATATCACAACACAATTTAGTATTATCATTCATTGATATATTTTTTAGTAGATAAGGTAGATGATAAATTGAACGATAATTATTAATATTTGAACGTTCCTACAAATTGTTTTGGATATATTTCTTTCATTATAATAGAATGTTTGAATAATATCGAATTTGTCTAATGATTTCATAGCTAAAGATGACTCGACACATAAATAATAACACTGGAATACAAAAACATGTGATTTAGATGATTTTCCAATCTGTTCTTATGAAGTATAATAAAAAAAGAAACAAAAAGGTTACGACACTCGGTATTCCCAGGCGGTCACCCATCCAAGT